ATCAACCTGCTGTATGCTTTTATCGTTATGCTTAGCAGAAACAAATGCGTTGGACATCTTGGCAACAGTGTTGCCACCTTTTGAAGTCCAAAAAGCAGAAAATAGTTTATAAAAAGCAGAAAATGACAGAAATTTTATTACTGAAAAACAGAAAAAAAGCAGAAAGCATATTTTTTGTGATGTAAACGATTTTAAAACTTTGTTCCAGTGTACTAATGAAGAATTTTCATATCAAACTTTGATCTCTCTTGTACAGAATCATGAAAAATAGTCAATCCATAAAGAAATAGGATTGTACAAGGTCAAGAAATACAACTACTTAATTGACAAATAGAATTATTAGATGCATTTTCTATTGACTACATATTTGTCATCTGGTTAAGTAGCTTTTAATAAATCTTGATTATCTAATAAATATTTACACATCTTATTCATGGTAAGGAAAACTTTAAACATATTGTTAATTCAGGTGATATAAGTTTTCTTCTCATGCAGTCCTTTGATCACATAATAAATGTTTCAATTATGAGAATGCTGAGCCAACATAAGCATTTCCACATGATAGAGAATAAAACAAATATATGAACTTTTTAAAATGTGGTGATTGAATGAGAGGAAAAATAAACACCCGTAACTGATCGGATCTGACAATTTTGTTCACTGTTGAATTATCATCATTTAGAATGGAAGACAAACATCAATAACTATTAGGAATGTATTGAGAGTGAAGATTCTGTAAGAAAGATGAGAAGTTTTCTTTTGTCAGAATTGCCAAGATCCAATCAAATTTTTATTTAGAATTACTTAGCTTGATTTCATCTAGCTATGCATACAACCAACCAGACCGATAAGAAAGTAAAAGGTCTAATCTCAGTCAATCTGTTTGATTGTACGCACAGCTAAATGAAATCAACTTCAGCAATTCTCCATAAGAATCTCGTCGAGTTTTGTGGATTTTTGCAACAGAGAAGTTGTTATCCTTATTGGACACTATTCATTCTCAATACATCTCTAGTAAGTATGGACAAGAACTTTGTTATAATGATGAAAAAATCTTTTAAGCAAAAATCTTGATTAAATATATAAATACTACAATATTTTAAAAAAGCAGAAAAATGCTCAGAAAGCAGAAAAATCTTCAAAAAGCAGAATTTTTCTGCTAAAAGCAGAAGAGGTGGCAACTTTGCTTGGAAAAGTTCTTTGATATTTCTCAAACAAGTAGTTCTTTAATCATGGAAATTTATTAAAACAGTGGTTATTTCATAATAAGGTATTGAATATTATATGCAAAGCTCTTCATGAGAACTATGGATGCAATAGGTCTTTTTGTTTTGGCATTATATACGGTAACAAGAAATATGACAGCAGACAGAAAAATACAGGCAGAGTCCATTTGATGATGATCATTGCTAGCGCGCAGTTGAAGAAACTTCGCTCACAATAGGTTTGTGGATGATTGAATGAATCATGGAATTGGACATGTGGTGTCACGTTAGCTATCCAAACCGTACCCTGAGCATAAAAAAAATATCGGAAGGAAAAATCGAACAAAACAGTTGTGTATTTCTTACCAAAATCAACCAGATTATATTGAACAGAAGAAGAACGATCGCCAACACTAGCAACAATACAAATGAAGTCACAAAAGGAAGGCACATACATCTCATAGTTTGATAGTGTGGACGAATGTGTATGACTCTCCAGTACACACTCTATATCATAGCAGAGAAACAAGAAGGTCATGTTCGAATAATTGAAGCAAAGTTTCTGAAAAAGAGAACTAACCAGAAGTAGAGAGTCTACGAAAAATAAAAAACTGGAAGCACCAGAAACGATGAGATAAATTGGAATATGACGATCAATCGGGCAATTGTTCAAATATTTAATACCAAAGTAAAGTTCTATTATCGGAATACTAGTGGAGATTGTAAGGTACCGAATACTTCGCATAATATTAGATGGGATGCAAATCAACGCATGCCATAGGGATATATTCTGATTATCATCTTGTACTTTTAAATTATTTTGATATTGAATATTGTTATTAGAATTAGGAACAGGAGGCGTGCAAGACGTTGGAGAGTGAAAGCTGCAAGTTTGAATAGAGAAGTATAATTTGTAGAAGTTCATGTGAAAAATTTCGATCACAAATCAGATAAAAATCTATCTCAAGTGTGATTAAAAATTCATATGAAAGCCGTAATTAAAATACGATTTAAGGTGATTTTTTTTCTAACTACAAAAATGGAAGTTTATAATGATTGATTGTTGTAAATCGATTAATAAAACTCAATCGAATACAATAGATCTTTCCAACTGAAAAATAGATTTCAATCTCATTTGTGATCAAAACTTTTTACATGGGTGATAATGCTTGTAGAATGGGCAGACTAGTGGAAGTCGAACACTCGCTTGTTTGCAACTCTTGATTGCTCCTGCCATCTGGGAAGGCAAGGTTTTCTTCAATAGTTTTCATGAAGTATTTGAAATGCACTTCGTCTTTTGCTTGCGTATTCGAATCAGAGAACACTATTTCGTCAGTATTCTCATTATTTATGCTGTCCTGTGATGTTTGCATGCCAATGTTAGTCTCTTCCTCTTGAACATTGGATTGTGTTATTTTTCTCGTCTTCTTCTTCTTCTTAGCTATTTGTTCGTTCGACATTACTTATGATACGGGCGATCGATCAGGAAGTGGCTCATTACTTTGATCCTTTGTTGATTGCACATTCATGGAGTCCATTGACATCGATTTCGCAAATGCTTTCTCTTGCTTTTTACCTTATGTTAAATAACAACTACGGCGTATGAATAATCTTGTCAGTCGTTCGTTTATATGATGTCAGAGAAAATAAACGACTTGAAGCGTAGCATGCCTGACATAAAGGTAGCCCATTTTACATTCTCGTATGATTATCCTGCATACAAAATAATGATTCATTTAATCTTGTGAAAGTAATAGTCAATGAGATTTAAAATCAATATCCAATAAATAAGACAAATGTAGAAATTTTTCATCAAAATATTCTCTTTTATAATACCAGGAGTTTTCGAAACAGATGTTACAACACAAGAAAGAAAACAAAAAAGAATACTGCATATATTTTATAACATCATAACTCAAATTTTCATATAAATCAATTTTAATATAAGATAGATCAGATCAGATAGATGCCTTATCTGTTACAGACGTTGGCTAACATGATACGCCAATTCTTCCGATCTTGTGCTGCGTGAAGAAAGTCTATTTTCGCATAACCTTGTTTTTCAATCCATAGATTCACGTTTTCTAGATATTTGATTCTAGGTCGGCCTTTATCTTTCTTTCCATTGATTTTCCCACTCAATACCAGATGTTCTATGCAACCTTTACGGATTATGTGGCCAAGGAATTTTAGTTGCCTATAACGGATGGTATTGATTAAAAGTCTTTTCGATTTCGTTCTTTTTAATATTGATTCGTTTGTTTCTCTAGCAGTCCAAGGTACATTAAGCATCCTTCTGAGAAACCACATTTCAGTAGCCTCTAAGCGTTTTTCCATTTCTTTACTGATTGTCCAACATTCGGAACCGTATAGCAGAATCGACCAAACGTAACATCTGAGTACTCTTGTTTTAGTGTCGATCGATAGGGTTCTATTTTTCAGAACTGGACTCAGCTTTTGGAACGCTTGTTTAGAGAGAGCTATTCTCATTTTGATGTCTTCATCGCATCTACCATCTGAGGTTATGACGGATCCCAAATAATTGAAGCGATTTACTTGCTTGATTGATTCTCTATTTATGTAAACTTTGCATGTCGGTGTGATTTTATTCTTTGAAACACACATACATTCTGTTTTCTTGATGTTGAGTGATAGTCCCATTTTTATGCTTTCTTTTGAGACTATATCAATCATTTTCTGTAGGTCTTGTTCATTACTTGCCAATAGTACGGTGTCGTCTGCATATCTTATATTATTACAATTTTTACCTCCAATTTTTATTCCTTCAACATCTTCTAGATTTCTAAGTATCATTTCATTATATATGTTGAAAAGATCTGGAGATAGAACACAACCTTGTCTGACACCTCTCTTTATACCTGTATAGTCACTAGTATCGTTATTTATTCGTATGGCAGCTTTTTGATCCCAATAAAGATTTCGAATTATTCGTAGTTCCTTGCCATCGATGTCGAGTTTTTCCAAAATTTGGAATAGACTGTCGTGTTTGACTTTATCAAAAGCTTTTGTGTAGTCAAGGAAACATAGGTATAGATCATGTTTGACTTCAATTGATCTTTCGATTATCGTTCGAAGGATGAAGATTGCATTTCTAGTGCCCTTATCAGGCATAAATCCATATTGTTCTTTTGCTATTTCTGGCGTGATCTTATTTTTCATACGCATCATCAGAATCTTAAGCAAAACTTTTGTGATATGACTCATGAGACTGATTGTGCGATGTAATTCACATTCAGTAGCTCCAGGCTTCTTTGGAAGCGCTATTGTTAGGAACGACATCTTTCTCTATGTTTTCTTTTCTTTCATATTACTTTTGTTAGTGGTCTTTCTTCTCCTTTTCTCTTTGATATTATATATGTGCGTGCACAACTATTGTATGAGGGACATTTTTGTTTATTTCTTAATAAATATAGAAAGGTCAACTTATTGTTGAATCGAACTCCAAGTGCAAATCAATATCTAACAAGTGGTGACAGCGGTGTCTTTCTTATTAAGAAATCGGTCCCGTGATTTTACATTTATTTAAAATAATTTTGGAAACATCCTTTCTTAAGGATTGTCTCTGTCAACGAATACTTAATTAGTTAAAGGAAGTGCCTTTTCTTTTGGTATGTGTCCTTGATGAATAGTAACACTCGTTCACATTTGAATTTACGAAAACATCACATTTCTGATTTATTATATTGTTCTCCTCCCAGAATACGTAGTGATTCTCATTCTGTTTGTGAACAGTCAAGAATTCGTTTATTATCTCAACAAAATTCATTAACAATTATGTCAACATCTCAACCAACCTCCGAATTAGTTGAAGAACAAAAAACTTGTGGTCATATGCCTCAGTTGGATATCAAATTAAATTTACAATTATTAAGAGAGCAAGAAAAGATGGCTCTACAATCTATTAAGAACTTAACTGAAGAAGAAATGATTCATATTGATCAATGGTTATCTGTATTACATAAAACATACGAAGATTGGGAATATCCATCATCGCATCGTGTATTTCAAGCAGTTACATATTTTAATGATGAACAAAAATTATGGTATGAACAGATAAAATCTGAAATTAATAATGATTGGTCATGCTTTTGCGATCGTTTAAAACAACATATTCAAGATCGTCAGAAGGTTCAAATTCATTCTTCACCAATGAATTATCCATTATCTGATACTAATGAAATAACATCGATGGAAAATCTTATTGACACAAAATTTATTAAATATTCTGGTATAGGTGATGCCAAGGTTTGGCTATTACAAACAATGAATCAATTTAAACAATATGGATTACGTCGTCTTGAACAATTTCAATCTATACCATTTTTATTAATTGATGAAGCGTATTTGTGGTACGTAGAACATATTGATTTAATCACCAATTTTGAATCGTTTAGTAAATTATTTCTTCAACAATATTCATTTACATTACCACCAGCACCAAATAATATTCTTACTGATGTGGATATACCGTCAAATTTAATTTCTAGCTCTTCATCTACATCACATTTACAACGAACAATTGCCGATGAAATTATTAAAAAACCAACATATTTTCGTGGTTCAAAAGATGACGTTCATGACTGGTTAGAAAAATTAGAACAACGTTTTCAAATGGCAAAATGGAATAATGAACAAAAATTACAATATATTTCAATCCATTTACAAGATGATGCATATCGATGGTGGACACAAACATCTACGACGATTAAATCATGGTCATTATTTACTGAAGCTGTTACAAAGGCTTTTGGATCAACAAAGGTACAAGAATTAGCTTTTGAACAACTAAAATGGTACAAACAAACGGTTAATCAATCTATTACACAATATTATGATAAAATCATTGAATTATGTAAGAAAGTTGATCTTGTTATGCCTGATTCATTAAAATTAAAATATTTGATGGCTGGTATAAAAGAATCATTAAAAATACATGTTGCATTACAGGATCCAAAAACACCAGATGCATTTTTATCGATTGCTAGAAAAGTTGAAGATACATTAACATTAACAAGTACAAACAATGAAGTGCAACAAAATAACATTAATATCAATGCTGCTACATTTCAAAAACCATCAACACGACCAAATATTTCACAGAAATCTATTAATAAAACTCGCCATAATACTTCTCAACATTTACAATCACAATCATATCGGAAACATCATCAACATTATGCACAAAATTCGAACCAACAGATTCGGAATTATGATCCTGCCAGATATCCACAATATGCATCGCAATCAAATAATTGTTATAAATGTGGTACTCCTGGACACTATGCTCGGGATTGTACCCGTACCCATTTCGGGTAAAGGAGGCAATGATCGGTGGTGTTGCTTCCAATACTTTATATAACAATCCATCGACACCAAATACATCTCTACTATATCTTAATGTTATTGTAAATAATAAAAAAATGAAGGTGATGATTGATACAGGTGCAAATCGATCTTTTATTTCAATTAAAGCATTAGATCCATCTTATGGTAAGCACCTTGTTAATAAATCACATAGTCGTATAATTTTAGCTGATGGTCATACATCTCTTTCTGTTTTTGGTACAATGACTCTATCTATTACAATGGGTGATATGTTAACTTCTATTAAAGCATTTGTTGTTAAAGAATTATGTGCTGATTGTATTTTAGGCATGGATTTCATTAATAAATATAAATTAATTATTAATACAGAAGAACAAATAGTTTCAATTAGTGATGATTATAAACGAACAACATTGAAATTTGCTATTAATAAAAACGATATAAGATATCCTGCACGTTTAATTAATAATGTTCGGGTTCCACCAAAGCAAACAGTAACAGTTCCTGTATCGGTAGAATTATCGTCAGCTCAGGTATTATTTCGTCCATCTTTTAAATTACAACAACGATCACCTGTCGTTATGTTAAATTCTGCATTAACTATTCATCATCATACATCATTTATTTCACTTCATAATCCAACAACTTACTCATATTCTTTACCAAGAGGAATTATTTTGGGAACAACAACTATTCCTACATTGTCTTTTAAAAGAAATTCAACTACTGATCATCAAATCGTACATAAGAACATTAATAATTTAATTCGACATATTGATAATCCTGAACAACAAGATAGGGTAAAAACTCTTCTTAATCAATATGCAAAATTATTTGACACAAGTAAATTAACAGTTGCTAGTAATGTAACATCTCATGCTATTAAAACGCTTGACCATCCTCCACCAGTATCTAAACCATATTATTCTACTCCAAGTAAACAAGAAGAAATGTATAAAATAGTACAAGAATTATTGCATTTTGGATTAATTCGTCCATCTGATTCTCCATATGCAGCACCAGCATTACTGGTAGCTAAGCAAGATGGTACATGGAGAATGGTAGTCGATTATAAGAAATTAAATAATATTACCATTAAAGATAATCATCCATTACCTAATATGGAACAAGCAATACAATTATTAGGTGGTGGCTATAATTTTTTTTCTAAACTTGATATGAAGAGTGGATTTTGGCAACTTCCAATTAAAGAAGAAGACAAATTTAAAACTGCATTTATTACTCCAGACGGTCTCTTCGAATGGAATGTGCTGGCTCAAGGTCTTAAGAATAGTCCACCATCTTTTCAACGAGTAATGACTGATATATTATCACCATGTCGGGAATTCTCGTTGGTTTATATTGATGATATCGTGGTATATTCTCGTTCATTTGAAGAACATCTCAATCATCTTGCACAAGTATTAGCTGCTTTATCAAAACATAATTTTCAACTTAATCCGGTCAAATGTAATATTTTTCATCAACATATTGATTATCTATCTCATACGATATCTGAATTTGGTGTTAAACCTAATAATGAAAAAATTCAAGCAATTATTAAATTGAGGGAACCTTCTAAATTAGCAGAAGCAAATAAGTTCCTGGGTTCTATTTCATGGTACCGAAAATTTATTCCTCAATTCGCTTCAGTTGCAGCACCCATCCATCGAGTAACAAATTTGACCAAACCAAATCGAAGACAATTTGTTTGGGGTGATGCACAACAACAAGCATTTTTACAATTAAAAGAATTATTAATTAAATCTCCATTATTTCTTAATTTTCCAAATGATAATTATCCACTTATACTGACAACCGATGCATCGAAAGTGGGTATAGGTGGTACATTACAACAAAATATTGATGGTGAAATTAAAAATTTATATTATCATTCTCAAGTTACATCTCCTACTCAACGACGATATGATCCTATTGAATTAGAAGCATTAGCTATATGGTTATGTTTTCAACGAATGCGATCTTATTTACTTGGAAGATCTATTATAATTTATACTGATCATTGTCCCTTATGCAAAATGATGAGTTCATCGGTAAAAAATCGACGAGTAGATCGAATTTCTATTTTATTGCAAGAATATAATATTGAAAAAATTATTCATATTAAAGGTCAACACAATTGTTTAGCTGATTATTTATCTCGTCATCCAATACAAAATGATGAAGAAATATTTGATGAAGATTATGGCATAAACATGTTATTTCAAGGGGAACCACCAGAAATGGTGCATGTTCCTGGAAACAATTTTCAAATTGTTGGTGCTGTTGTTACACGTTCCAAGATGAAACAAATAGCACAACGACAAGATCAAATTCATGTAACTATACCATCAATTACCAATGATAAATCATCTTCATCAAGTCAAGAAAAAATTGAACATTCAGATGAAGTTACGTCAGATTTAATTACATCTAATAATTTTGATATAACTCAAATCAAAATTGAACAAGCAAAAGATCCAGTTATTCAAAATAAACTTAAAGAAATTATGAAAGATTCAACAAAACATTCTTATGTATTTAAAGATGGCATATTATACAAGTTGGCATTAATGCGTAGTAATTCCACTACAAAAACAAAATTAATTTATTTACCATCATCTATGATTAACTCCCTTCTTCAATCGTACCATAATGATCCACTTAGTGGTCATTTTGGCGTTCGACGTACATATTTAAAGATCAAAAATAAATTTTGGTGGCCAAAAATGAAACAATTGATTAGCAAATATATACAATCGTGTTTACCTTGCCAACAATACAATATTAATCGATCAAAGAAACCAGGACAACTTTATCCAATTCCAGTGCCAGAAGGACCGTTCCAGTTAATTGGTATCGATTATTGTGGACCGTTTAAGAAAACACCACGTGGTAATTTATATGTGTTATGCATCACGGATTATTTTACACGATGGGTGACAGCAATTGCTTTACCCGATTGCTCAGCACAGACTACAGCACAAGCATTATTCCAGGAATATATTTGCCGATATGGTGTACCAAAATCTATTTTATCAGATCAAGGTACACACTTCAAGAACCAGTTAATGGAAGCAATGGCAAAATTAATTGGTTATAACCATATTTTTTCGAGTGTTTACCATCCACAGACTAATGGAATGGTTGAACGTTTCAATGCAACATTTGTTCCCCAAATTGCAAAACTTCAAGATCGTGAAAATAACAATTGGGACGAATTTTTATTACCAGTAGTATTCGCTTACAATACTGGAATTCATGCAACAACTGGTTATTCACCATTTCAATTACAATATGGCCGTGATCCACGTTTACCTACAGATGAACCTTCAACATCGTTCATATTTAATAAACCACAAGATTATTACGAACAATTAAAGAAGAATTTGTTGATAATACAACAACAAACACGTGATAATGTTAATAGTCGACAACAACGATACAAGAATCGTTATGATAAACAACGTGCAGATCCACATTATGAAATTAATGATTTGGTATTGGTTAAAATTCATGGAACAAAAGCAAAATTAGATCCAAAATATTCACTTACACCCAAAGTTGTTATTAAAAAACAACATCCAATTTATTGGGTTAGAGATGAAGAAACACAGGTCGAATCGAGAGTGCATGTTAATGACATTCGACCTATAATTATTTCTAAAACACCGATATTGAATTAAATGTATTTATTTTTGTTAATGATCAATTAATGATAATGTATATGTTTTGTTATGTTATAATGGTTGATGTTTGACTATGTTTGGCGTATGCGCAACGACTTTCATGGGACAACATTGATTCATTAATGTGTGTGGAAAAATTGATATTTTAATATGCGCGCATTAATTATCAATAGTTATCATCATTCCCATATGGATAGCATTATCAAAAATTGATTATTACAAAAATTGACATTATATTACATGTCAGGAAACTCCTCTTTAGGGATGTTTCTGTTCTGATTATTCCTTATGAATTTTTTTTTCTTAACTATATATTGTATAAAATGTGCTTTCATCCATGAGTGATATCTATACATTGATTTATCGATGGGATTATTGCTATGAACCAATAAGATGTTATATGTTATTTTTATTTTATTTATGTTCATTTTGTTTATTTTATTTCTCTTTCTAGTCATTACTATGTCAGATAAAATTATTCCACATTATTTACGTGATATTGATGATAACTCAAATGGTCGTGAACAGTATCAACAACAACAACATATACAAAAATTAACCAAGGCTGAAGAAAATTTTCACTTACGACAACAATATCCACAATTTGCTGTACCACCATCTATGTACAAAGTGATTCATGTCAACAACTATACAT